GCAAACCACTGAGCTAGACTAGGGCAATGGTTCTCAAACACACCTGCTTTTTAGAATCACCTGGAGACTTAAAATCAATGAACCCATAACTGCCTCAAGGCTGTGGATTTTTCTATCCAAAATTATGATTCAGCCTTACCACTAGCATATAAAACTTGATTATTCCAAGTAAAAAAAGAATAAATCTGTAACAACTTTGGAAATTCCAGTGTGGAAAGTTGTGGGGGTTTAGCCCCAAAATATGATAGTAATACAAAATATTTGTAGAGCCAACTACTTAGAAAAGTTTTACATTTCTGATTTTCCATTGTTTGACCTACGATTCTCTATTAATGCTTGCCAAACACCCAGTTCTCAAATAATTGAGATTGCTGGCCATAGTTGAAGCAGCAAAGTTTCCTTAATATTGTAATGAATGTTGCTACTTTGAAATTCTTTTCTGAACACTAGTTGGTTATACTAGCTTTGACAAAATAGAAAATAAACACTGCTTTACAAACTATTCTGTGTTTTTCTATCAAACTAATGAAATGTCTTATGACTTTCTGTCATTTAAGAAATAATTTATTTTTATAGATTTATTCTGAACTCTATGTTGATAATTTATAGATTAGTTTTTTTTTTGTTTTTTTTTTAATCCTCACCCAAGGACACTTTTCCATTTTTTGTTCAGATAGAGCGGGAGGGAGAGAGAGGAAGAGAGAGAGAGAGAGAGAGAGAGAGAGAGAGACATTGATGTGAAGGGACACATCGAGTGGCTGCCACCCGCACGACCAACCAGGGCCGGGGACAAACTGCAACCGAGGTACATGCCCTTAGCGGGAACCGAACTCGGGTCTTCTGTACCGCAAGCCAACGCTCTAACCGCTGAGCCAAACCGGCCAGGGCTATAGATTAGTTTTTTTTAAAAAAATGCTACCTATATAATTCATTATGAAAAACTCAGTTCTTCAAAAACTATGTACCACAGTACTTTTGTTGGTACCAGAAATTACAAATGGACCATTATCATTTCCTTTTATAATACAGGGTGGGACAAAAGTAGATTTACAGTTGTTTGTATGGAAAATAATATAATAATAAATAATGATATAAGAATAAACTGTTTTGTGTAACACAACTTTAGCCCACTTTTGCCCCAACCTGTATACAAGTTCTTAGGTAAAAGTTACTGGATAATGTCTTCTAATTTTTATCTATTTATTGTTAGTGCCTAGTTATAATCATATTTTATATTCAAAGACTATATTATTCATAACATACTTTGCAAAAACCTATGAAATATGTGTTGCATTAATCATATTTGGAGTTTGTATAGCATCTCTAAGAAATTCCAAATACTTTGAAAATATTGTTTCATTTGTTTTCACAGCACTGTTTTTGAGGAGCAGATGGGTAACTGTCACAGTTGAAGGATTAAATGAGAGAACACATGCAACGATGAACTCAGCACAGGGCTTGGTGCACAGCCAATGCTCATTAAGTTAGCTGCCATTATTGATACCACTATTACTACTGACTTTCTGGTAGAACCATGGGCATTACAGTTGCATTATAATGTGATAATGTGTACTTTTCTTACACAATATATATGAAGGCATCAGTTATTGGTTGTTCAGGCCCTCTTCTCCGTAGCCATTCAAGTGATTATCATCAGGGTGGATTTAAATTGTGAGGCTGTGACACATTATCTTGGAATGCCAAGTCAGGAAGATGGAATACCAGGTTGTAAGGAAAGAAAACTTTCCATAAAGGCACCCAGTCACTGTTAAATAATTTTTTTACAAGAGACTCAATTCTACATCATGTATATATATTTTTTTTCTTTATTGATTTTAGAGAGAGAGGAAGGGAGAGGGTGAAAGAGATAGAAACATCCATGAGAGGACATTGATTGGCCGTTTCCTGAATACCCCCCACTGGGGATTGGGCCCACAACCTGGGCATGTGCCCTGACCGGGAATCGAACCTCTTGGTGCATGGGTCAACGCTCAACCAGTGAGCCACACCAGCGGGGCTCATTTCTACATCTTTTATTCTGAAACAACTTGGAAAAACCATCTCTCAGTGTTTCAAATTTAGGGATGTCTTCCCTTTCTAGGCTAGGTTTCATCTAATCACAATGAGATGGAAGAGACCAGGAGATAGAGAACAACCAGGGATGTTATCTTGCTTAACTGTCATTGATTTATTCATGACCATACATGATGCTAAACAATGTTCCGATATTACCCACACTGCTCCCAGCTTTCTGGCAGAGGTTGCTTCTTTCCTGGGTTGTCTGGACATCAAATTGACACATTCACTGTTCTAAAGGATGGGCTGAGCAGTTTGCCCACAGCGAAGCTTTGTGGGGAGGGCAGAGCTACCAATCCAGAGTAGAAAAGAGATATTGCGATTCCTTTTACAGAGCAAACATTGTGGGCCAGGGCTGGCATCCAATCACAATTATTTTATGTCATTTAAAGCATCTAATCACAAATTTCTTACCTTGTTGAAAGTACTATGGCCCAAGTTTTTATTCTCTACTAGAAACATTTTAAAAAGGAAGCAAGTATAGATTTCTAGACAAAGCCTTCTTAAAGGAATTTTGCAAACATTATGTCTGCTTTTCCTCTGTTGCAATATGTATACTGTTGCTTCTGGGATGGGACAGTCACTCTTGCTGTGCCATGCTGAAATGCATCAATCCCATCAGTCACCATGAGTAGGAAGTATTGTCACAGGATATTAAAATTCCCTGGTTTCAAAGGGATTTCCCTAAACAGAAGGGGACCAAAATCTGAAAACAACAACACACCACTACAGAATCAATTGGTAAGTACCATGCAAGTGCATGGGCTTTGCCAGGCAAAGGGAGAAAGTTTCCAGGTTATCACTGGAAGACTTAGGACTGGTTACAGAAAATTTCTAAAGCAGGAGAGCTTAGCAGCTGCAGGTTTCCAAGTAAGAAGTAAGTTATTTCATGTGCTTTGCAAAATTTGACCTACTTCAAATTCCAAAAGGGATTTGAATAAACCTACAATGAAAATAAATAAATAAAAATAAAATCACTGCCCTGGCTGGTTTGGTTCAGCGGTAGAGCATTGGCCCTCAGACCAATGAGTCCTGGGTTTGATTCCGGCCAAGGGCACGTACCTCGGTTGCGGTTCGTCCCCGGCCCTGGTCGGGATTGTGTGGGAGGCAGCCAGTCGATGTGTCTCTCTCACATTGATGTTTCTCTCTCTCCTTGTCTCTCCCTCTCTCTTTACCAGAAGATAAATAGAAAAATATCCTCCAGTGAGGATTAAAAAAATAATAAGATCACTGGTTCACGGGGATGCAATTATACAAAAAAATGAATAAATAAATAAATAAAGTTCTGGTCGAATACATTATGCCCTGAGTTTCCTGGCAGTCAAAGGGGGAAAAGTAAAGAATAATGGTGCGAATGCTGAACCTTGAGGCATAAGGAGTGGTGTCTAGTTTGGCAATCTGCAGCTGTTGTTTACTAGCAGGGTGGCAGGGAATTTTCTTCTTTGATTCTGTTTCCTTATTTTTAAAATGTGGCTAATAAAAATCTGGAAGAATGTTGGGAGAGTTCAAGGAGAAACTGTATGTGAAGGAAAACTCTAAAGCACAGTAAAAATGAAAGTGGTTATAATCAATAGTTTACATTATCCAATAAAAAGACAAAGCATTTTCTTAAATCAGTGTTTGGTTGTCTTACTACCCGAAGGGTCTGGAACACAGAGGGCACATAATACATGTTTGCAGAACCAAGGAAAGAAGGAAGAAGGGCAGTTCCCAGATGTTTTCTCCTCCAGTTTGAGTAAATGCTTGGCCAAGTTCATTCACTCCTTCAGAAAATAAAAGATGAAAAAGCTCAAATCCCAAGCAGCCAAGGACCGCGGGAAGGTCTCATGCATACAGTGTGCCTCTGTGGACTCATGACCACAGGCTAAATAGCTTTCACTATTGCCCAGCAAACCTGCTACAATCTCAGGACATCTACCACCCTTCCTCCGCTGCACCCACTTCAAGACTTCCACAGTTCCACCCACCTAATTCTTCACTCTTCATATCCGAACTCTAGGAAGTCTTCCCTGCCTTGTGCCAAATTAAATCCCCCTATTTTACACCACCATGACATTTATCATAACTCCAAATGTACATTTATTTGCATCATTATTATTATCACCATTATTAAAGAGTGGTATTATTTGAATTCATTGTTAGTTAAATGATTAATGGAGTTAATTTCTAATTAAATTATTATAACACTTATTGGCATCACTATTACGTTTACATCAACTTGTAGGTGGCTGGCTCCCTGACTGTCATCTCCATCACAGCAGGAAAAATGGTTTCAACCATGTGAACAAAAGCATTGCCTAACACATTGGCTGGTACATAGTAGCTGCCCAGACGATATTTGTTAAATTAATCAGCATTCCTGAACTCTCGAATTCTGTCTAGCGGCGCTGGAGGCCTACGTGTACAGTGATGTACCCAAGGCCGTCTAAAGTTCCAGTGGGGTCTGCAACTTTCTGCAAAGTGAACTCTGTAGCGAAATGTGTCCGAAGGCGGCACAACCGCGTCCCTTTAAAACAACAAAACAAGACAAGCTCTGAAAGCTGCAGAAGCTTGCGCTCCAGGGCACAACCGCAGTAAACCCTGCGAACGTCCCGCGCGCACAGCGCAGCGTGCCAGCTGGAGGCTGCCCCGGGACTGCCCCTTTCATTTCTCCCGCGCGAAATCCGGCCGGACGGCTCCACTCCCTCCCTCGGCTGCAGGGGGGAGCCCGGCGCCCCCATACGGGTAGGCTCCTCAGGCCGCGCCCATCAGCAGCTCCCCATCACGCCGCCTGCGAAGCGAAGTTCCCTGGTCGCGAAGTTTGGATCTGTGACCGAAGCCTCGCGGCGCAGCGCGGCAGCGCCAAGTAGGCGGCGCCGCGCGCTCCCCCTGCCCCGGGCGCCGAGTGCGCCCCTCCCCGGACCCGCCGGAGCTTCGGGCGCAGCGCGCGGGCTGCGGGGTGCGGGCGTTCTCCGTGCGCCGGCCGGGGTGAGGCGTCTCCCGTGGCAGCGTGCTAGGCGGAAGCTGGAGCCCCGGTGCAAGAATGGAGCTGGCGACTCGCTCCCAGGTGAGGGTCCGCCCGCTGGCTGCAGCCCCGACGCCCCCAAGGCCTGCCTTCCCTTTGCGCCCGGGCCTCCCTGCCTTGGGCTGGAAACGTGGCCCTCGGCCGCCGAGTTGTGGGTCGGGCGCGCCTTGGTGTGCGCAGTGGGTCACGGTTGTGCCGGCCGGACTGGGGAGGCTGGGAGCGTCCGCACTCGGGCCGGGTCCTCTGTCCCGGGTGGGGTGCCCAGGGGTTGCAGGCCTGGCCGCTGTGGCCACGAGCCCCATGAGTGATTGCATTTCGAGGGGAGGTAGCAGGAGCTTTTCTGGTGAGCGCCCCCACTTTCTTTAGGAATTGGCACGGAGATAAGGAAGTTTAAGAAAAGTGTATTTTTTCTAAAAACAGTTGCGGGTCAGACCAGTTCAATCTGGGGTAATGGAACTGTAAAGGAATTGTTCTGATATTGTTCTAGAATTTTTGTAAATGTTTTCAAGTAATTTGTAACCACTTGGGGCGGAGTGGGGGTGGGGATAGCGACGTCATTAGGCCAAATTAAAAAACAAAAAGCCCCAAGATCCCAAACCATATACACAGCACGACCCCAATTAACGCGTTAGGTTCTTAAGTAGCTTTTAAAATCTCATTAACAAACACTTGAGTAAGTTACCCTAATGTTTCAGTGGGTGCTGGGAATGTGAACGAGGCTTCAGTTTTTCTTACTACTTTTTAAAGGAGCTTTTTCTCTACTTTCTAGTAGTGAATTACTCTCCCCTCCCCCCCGTGAGCAATAAACACTTTTTTATTTCCCCAAACGAGCTAAAAATAAAGCTTTTAGAAAGGGAAGGAAGCAGCTTCTGGGGGGCCCAAGAGATACTTTATATGAGGGGTTGGTTTTTTTCTTGCTTTTGTGAGCGCCTCTGACTCACTGCTTCCACCTTAACCTTCGACTACTGTTGACCTGTTTCTCCATCTGGGTGCTGCTGGGCCTTGGCGTTGGGAGACATGAAGGGGCCAGCGCCAAGCGGCTGGGGTGGTTGTGGTGCCTGAGCCTAGGCCGCTGTCACCTGCGCAGGTCCAGCGGCAAATTAAAGGTATAGCCACTAATGGTGGGTTTGCCCACCTAGTAATTTATGAAGTTTTTAAAAGTGGACATTTAGGAGAAATCTGTTGTGGATGTTTATAAGAAAGAGTATTTCTCCAATGAGGTATTCAAAATAAGGAAAACAAACAGTTCTTCAAGGGTAAGAAGGACTGAGACAGGGTTAGATTTTTTTTTAATTGCATTGTACTTTATCATATAATTAGTATCCTTTGCTTCTAGGAGGTTCAGGTTTCTCTAGGACTTAAACCTTTCTGGAAGGAGCTTAGAGCCCCCTTGTGAATTTCATCAGCAAATGTATCCTGATAATGTATCACTGCTGCCTGAATCCTGTTCTGCTGGACTCGGCACCGCCCTGTGCGTGGTTCATGCTTAGGAAGCTCACAGAATGTGTAGTTGGAAGTGAACATTTTCCTGTTAAATAATGAGGCTAAATTTTGTTAGCTCTAAAATGTTCAACTATTTACCATGTGGGGGGTGATTCACAAATTATATCCGACACATTATGCATCAATTAGGGCAAATTACTGTATGTAAAGATGATCTGGTGTTTGTTTGTTTTGATTTTTTTTTCTTTTTTGACTAAAGATCTCCTAACTGGCAGTGCAAATTTAGATGTGTGATGATTTTTCCAGTTTGTCATGATTTAAATGTGAGCAGATTATAGTCTCTTTAATTTAAATTAGTGGAGAGTGCGTCTGTGGGGCGGGCAGGTGACTGCAGATAAGAGCATTTATGAACATTTCAGGCACAGCAAGATGTTAAATCCGTGTGGTTTCACCCTGTGCCCCAACCCTATGAATAAAGCAGTATGATGAACTGCCTGAAGCAGTATTAGTGCCGAATAAGGCTCAGCTCAGTGTGCAGTGGGTTTTAATCTCACCTACAGTAAATAAAATTTCCATCCCCTGGAAAGCACAGAGGTAGATGGGGTTCCAGCAAAGCAGCTTAGGCCCGATGTTATGAGTAGAGGGAACTAGGCAGGGAGAAGAGAAGATAACTCATTTAGATTCTCAATTCCTTTCTAGCCTCTTTTTATTTTTTTTGAGATTTGATGTCCTCTGACAGTGATCACACCTCCCATGGGCTGTCGTCCTTATTGGGCTGACCACTGTGTCTTTGTGCTTTCATACTGGATGACAGGAGTAACACCCAGTAAGGCAAGGACCTGGTCCCTTGCTGGGGGCACTCAGCAGTGCAGCTCACAGGAGCTGAGGATGCTGCCTCAGCTTCCTAGCAGAGAAACTGGGAGGTCCTGAATGTCAGTGTAGTCCTTTAACTCGCTAGCTCCAGGGGACAGGTTGGACCTGTAGAGAAGGAAATGATGGTAAATGTTCTCATGAATATGCATGCTGTGGAAGAGGTAATGGGGAATGTTTTTTGGATACTGACCCTCATAGCTACAAAGTTTGTACCCAGCTGATCCTGTGGCTTAAGATTTGTGCCCAGGGCCCCAGAAGCTGGTCACAGCTGGGGGGGGGGGGGGTCATCCATGACTTCTCGGAAGGACAGCACAATGATTTGCCACTTTTATAGTTCTGTATTTGAAAGGCGACTTGATCGTTGTTTTGACAATCTGCTGACTATCTCATCAACTTAATAGCTGAATTTTTAGTGATCAGGAGAAACCTCCGAAAACACAGCAATTCTGACCTGGTCAGGTGTACAGGACAGAAAACCATGGCATAATTATGTGACTTAAAAAAAAAATGTATGAATGTTACACTAAATGAATGTAAAGATCTTTAAAGCTGTTTGAATAGAATAGTCTGGGAATGGTCATTTTAAACTGCTCTTACCCATCAGCACTCTTTTTGACTTACAGTTTAGAATTTTTACCTCCCAAGATGCCTTCCCGTTTTGTTTTGTAATGACATAGCTTTATTCACCGAAGTGGAATTGATAACAGGCTATTTAGGGGAGGGATAGAGATAAGAAAATAACAGTAGGACCATTTTTTTGTTTGTTTGTTTATAAAGAGCAGTGGTTTCTGAATGTTTTAAAATAGTACCATTTGAGGCATATTTGGTAAATATAACTGAGGTTCACACATGGAAAGGTTTGTCTTCCATAGTAATTGTCAGTGCCCTGTATGTAGTGCAAAAATAATGTCGTGGGGCCAGAGTTTGAGTTCAAATAGTTGACGTTTTCTGCCCGATTTTCCACTCCATAATCATGAGCTGATGATTGAGGGCTCCTGCCTTGGTTAGGCTGTGTATCAGGTGTTCTTTGAGCAACAGCTATGTGCTAAGTATTATGTTAGTTATGCTGGAAGAAAGAACGACTTTTTGTCTTTTTTTTTTTTTTTTGCTTTTGCCAGAGCCCAGCTGGCTCCTGCTCTGTGCTGTGGGGACCTATGGGGCCTTTGGTTTGGGGAGTGGGAGCCAGCCTTCCCAACCCCCTCCCCACCCGCACCCTAGGAAACTGTCGCTTCCTTTGAAAAGTCAGGCTGTGCTAGGTACCTAAATTTATCAGAATTAACCCTTACTGTAGTTCTGTGAAGTCGGTTGCATTATCTGCATTTTAAAGATAAGGTACAATTGAGCAATTACCTTTGGTCAACCACAAGGAAGGAGCTGAGCCAGGATTCGGCTCCCAGAGCCATTGTTTGACTCTTGCCACTAGAATCATGGGACGTGGGCAGGTTACCACATTTTCACTGAACTAATTTTATGAGGCTAGAGGTCTTTGCCCAACATAGTGCCACTGAGATGATCAGGGATATGCCAGGTATAATGTACTATTTCTTTCTTTTGTTTTTAATCCTCACCGGAGGATATTTTTTGTATTTATCCTCAGATAGAGTGGGAGGGGAGGGGGAGGCAGACAGAACATCGATGTAAGAGAGACAGATTGATTGGTTGTCCAACCCCCACGGGCCTGTTCTGGCTGGGGAAATCTGCAACCCAGGGGTGCTCTTGACTTGAATTGAACCCAAGACCCTTCGATCTGCAGGCTGAGTCTCTAACAAGGAGTCAAACTGGCCAGGGCGATCGTTCTCATTTTTAATGATTGCAGTAGTTCATTGAGTAGATATGTATTCCATGTGTTAATTTTCTGTTGTTGATTTTTTTCTATTAAAGGCGTTTTGCATAAGTGTCTTGGGGTATATATACACATACATACCTTAATCCCTGTGTTGGACTCCACACTGTGTGTAATTATTGTTCTTTGCAATGTTCTTACTATCTCATAAAGGGAATGTGTCCGATTTTCCATGGTGGGAACCTCTGAAATACCTTTTTTGTTTTAATCCTCACCCGGGGATACCCACCCCCGCATTTACCTCGAGAGAGAGAGAGAGAGAGAGAGAGAGAGAGAGAGAGAGAGAGAGAGAAAAGCATCGCTGTGAGAGGGACACATTGATTGGCTGCCTCCTGCACAACCCTGACCAGGAATCAAACCCGAGATTCTTTGGTCCGAGAGCTGACGTCGTAACTGCTGAGCCAAACTGCTGGCGAGGGCTGTTGTATTCGCTGAGAGAAAGCAGTTTTTTGCTCAGGTTAGAACAAGGGGTCATGGTCACTGGACCAAAACAGCAACTTTTATTCCTGAACTTAGAGCACCTAGCAGAATGTTTTCCTTTGGGGGAAAGTGGAAGGTAGTCGTAGAGGGATGTTCTTTACCACCATCAGGTCCGACTGGAACCCCCCCCCCCCCCCCAGACCCAGGAATGCGCCGATGGAGGCTTACTGGGAGTGCCTGTGGCTTGGGCTGCCCTGGGATTGGTGCAGGCTGGCTGAGAGGCAGGGATGCCCTGTGCTGAGCTGCTGTCATGGGGTAGTGCATCACTGTTTAAAAAGGGTTGCCTTCTTTGGTCTTGCTTTACCCATTACAAAGTGGTTTCTGAGAGCTAAAAAATGTATTCCTCGTGGGGGTGCTGGATCTAATGGGCAGGTGCAGTATGGAAAACTTCACAAGGCTGTAT